GCTTCCTCTGTGGTACCCAAGATGGTGAGCATCTTCTGCTCAGGAGATGGCTCCATCAGCTTTAACTCTTGCTTCACTCAAATGTATTTTGTCCATGCAGCCACAGCTGTGGAGACAGGGCTGCTGCTGGCCATGGCTTTTGACCGCTATGTAGCCATCTGCAAGCCCCTACATTACAAGAGAATTCTCACACCTAAAGTGATGCTGAGAATGAGTGTGACCATTGCATTCAGGGCTGTTGTGTTCATGTCTCCATTGAGTTGGATACTGAGTCATCTACCATTCTGTGGCTCCAATGTGGTTCCCCATTCTTACTGTGAGCACATGGCTGTGGCCAAGTTGGCATGTGCTGATGCCATGCCCAGCAGTCTCTACAGTGTAATTGGTTCCTCCATTATTGTGGGCTCTGATGTGGCCTTCATTGCTGCCTCCTATGTCTTGATTCTCAGGGCAGTGTTCAATCTTTCCTCAAAGAATGCTCGGAGGAAGGCATTAAGCACATGTGGCTCCCATGTGGGTGTCATGGCCCTATACTATCTACCTGGAATGGTATCCATCTATGTAGCCTGGCTAGGGCAGGACACAGTGCCCTTGCACACCCAAGTGCTGTTAGCTGACTTGTACCTGATTATTCCTCCCACTTTAAACCCCATCATTTATGGTATCAAGACTAAACAAATACGTAAGAAAATATGGCATTTGCTGATGTTATTCTTTTATCTCTCTTATCAAGTTTCATGAACACAAGTCTACTTCTGAGTAGCTTTAGCTCTCCAGCCAGCTGCAAAGATGGTCTGGAAATCTATGGAGTTGGGATTGAATTACCTGGCACTACAGAAGTTTAAGATGAAGATGTACAAAATGAACTTTTATAGCTTTCTGATTTCAAGCAATAAATTGAATGGGATGATTCTTATAGTCTAACAACATTTTTGATAATTTCATTCAATTTGTACCTGAATAATAGATTTTCTTTCCTTTGTTTTAGACCTATGTTTCCAACACTAATTTCCAACACAGTTTGCCCCTCCTCCCACCAATCACTCAACCACTCAAGTTTTTAATAATTTTTCCTTTTCTGATGTGCTTATATGGAAGCTGTGAGTACATGAGCTTTCTCTCTGCATAACTGATGAATCTCTTCTTGACCATGTGTTCACAAGTAGATCAAAATCACTTTCCAGCCATAATATATTCCAGTTTGTTGCTGGACATACAAACTTCTGATCAATGATGATACACATTCTGTAATACTTGAACTTGAGAAGAGAAATCTGGACGACAGCAATGAAGACATTTATTTAAATGGGATGATGACAATGTTTCTCTGGTTCTCCAGTTTCAATTCACTTTGGAAAACAAGTATATTCCTGTTACTATGTTCTACAAGACAACCTTTTGTATTTTACATTTATCTCCTACTATAAGCCAGTTGGAGTCAATATATGAATTATTATCTTTTGTTTTTAAGCAATAGAATCTAAATCAATGTGAATTTGGCTTTGGACATGTTTCTTTTGCTTCTTTATCTTATTCTGTTTAGCTCAATCTTAAGATATAAAAGGGAGAGATGAAGTATAATACAGATCCTTCTTCTTGTGAGTACCACTCACAAATGATCTGGGATATAAAGGCTAATAATGAATGATAAAGGTAATAAATTAAAATTTCAACACTTTTCCAGGTTCCCTGACCTGTAAATTGTTTTTCTTTCTATTTCCATGTTTTGAAAATGTTTTTACATTCTCTGTGTGGAGCTTGAATGTGTATACAACACATCTTGATTCCTTTTTTCATCTCCTTTCCCTCTCTTCTCTCCCTCTCCCTCCATCTCCCAATACCCTTACCATTTGAGAAAGATTCATCTACCTACTTCTTACCATCCTTCATCTTGCTCTTTATTTGTAATTTGAATTTCTAATATAAGAGAAAACATGTGATAACCAAGCAGTATCTGATTTATTTCACTTAACATTATGGTCTCAAGATGCATCTATTTTCCTACAAATGACTCAAGTTTATCTTTCTTTATGGCAGAGTAGTACTCCATTGTGTGTAAATGCAACATTTTCTTTATCCAGCTTTGGAGACATTTTGTTGCCTTGTCTTCTCATGGTTCTATTTGTTTGTTTTTATGCTGAGGTTTGAAGGTTGTTTATAATGGAAGGATTTGTTGCTAGCATGGAGACCTTTTTAGTTAATGGCTACTTTTCAGTGATGCTTTCTGGGTATGCCTACCTATAGGCTTTTGACTCTGTCCTAGAATCCAATCACTTCTGTGTTTTTGGGTGGAGAGGCTGCAGTGTATTTTGCCCAGTACCCAGTCCTCTGGAAATGGGCTGTAGTATTGTCGATCACACAAAGACATTCCCGATATTAGCATATAGAGAAAACCAATTAACAGCCACAACTACGTCACCTTGGATACAGTATTAAATTCAGCAACAATAATAGCATGAGAGACAAACTGGATATTGACATACTCTAAGAACCAATGATGTAACTCCCTTTATCATAGAAGAGAGATCTATAATTTTATATAAGCACTAAGACAAAACAAATATCGACCTACAAGTAAATATCTACTAAGTGGAATAACTTCAGCTCCACTAAAAGTAGAGCAGTATTCAACACTAATAGCCTAGAGCTATCTAAAAGTCCATAGTGCTCAATGGTTGTACTAGTAACGAGGGAGGAAGTTGGGAATTGAACAAGTGAAAAGTAAAGTTTGAAATATTAGTCAATAGAAAATAAGGAGGAGAGAAGTGTGAGATAGAGGATCCTACTGAGGAGTAAAAGAAAATTAATAATAGCACTATAGGGCCTGGGATTTAGCTCAGTGGTTTCGCCGCCTGCTGCACAAGCGCAAGGACCTGAGTTCAATCCCTGGTACAAAAAAAAATAGCACTAGATAACTTTAACTGAAAAAAAACAAGCAAAAGAAAAGAAAAGAAAAAAGAAAAATATGAAGGAAAAACATTAAAAGGAGAAAAGCAAAAAGGAAAAAAAATTGAGAGACTAAACACCAAGCTCCAAAAAACAAAAACAAAAAAGACAAACCACTGACTTTAAAAAAATCCTCTGTGTTTTTGAATGAGTGTCTTATTTTCAGGATATTCAGTCTTGGAACCCAGGAGGTCACAGTTTTCTCTCTGGGCTTTTATTGTGGCTTGTGCCATGGGCCACATCTGTTTTTTCTCCCCAGAGCCGTCAACTCTCCCAACTTATTCTAACCTAGGGAATTGGCTTCATCTTCAATCAAATTGGTTGGTTGTTCTGTGCCTCTACTGCCCAGTGCCAAGGGTAAGTAAAACACATACTAAATTTAGAATTTGTGGGTGGAATATGTGAGTTCACAGTTGGTCAGGGGTAAGTGCCATGCAGGGATGGACACCTCATACAAATGAAGGCTAGCTAGTTCAATGTACCTAATAAAGAAAATTTTGGTTTTGTTGCTAAAGGAAACTCTTTTTGGTGTTGCCATGATTCTACACATAACTTGACATACTATAGAATGTATGATGATTGATAAAATCTAACTCCCTCTGGCTATGGGTGGAATGCCCATAATCCAGCACTCCTGAAGCAAGACAGCATCTGCTGAGGACAACTGTCAATACACAGGCATTTGGTTGTAGAGAATATCTGTTTCCTCATTAACTTAACCTTTATCCACCCATTCTCCATAGCTGCTATTTCACGAAATATGTGCTATCCTTCCCCCTGTGCTTCTCACTGGCTAATAGAAGTGGGCCAACCACGGAATTTAGAGTGTCTGCTAGAGTCAGGTCTCCTCTTGGCCCTCCCTTGATAACTTGAAAATTGTCTCTGTCTCCTTCTTTTATTCCTTGTCATTCCCCCTAAAAGGTAGCTGAGGGTCTGATCAGCCTTTGATAGGTTCCCAGTGTTATGTTCCCGTAGTGAATGGGTGAAAAACAGCCACAAGTAGACAGTTGTGGCTAGGCAGCTGAGGTCAGGCTGGAAAGAGAACCCCTGAGGGGTTTCAGATGTAGGACATAGGTTTCAGCCTAAATTGCTCTGGATTTGAAAGTCCAGCCATTGGTGGCCTTGCCCTAATCCTACTGCCTGCTGGTGGTGCCTGCATTCAAGCATAGATCTGGAGTCTGTCTGCTTCCATTATCTACCAGCGTGAGCAGGGACACATCTTGATTTGGACACTGCCCTAAAATTGTAGATCACCGAAGAAAACCACACATTAAAGTCACAGAGAAAATTTTTTTTGTATGTGTTGTTTTTAGGTTTTTAAAAAAATATTTCTGTTTCTTTCATTTCTCTTTTCTTCTTCACCAGTTTATTGGGGCTAGGGGAATTTTCCTTTGTCCTTCTTCTCTGTTTCTTATCTCTTTTTCTTATTGCTTTTCTTCTGTATTTTTTCCTCTTCTCCATTTTAGTTATTCTCCCTTTAAGTTTTTCTCTTATTTTTACTTCCCATATAATTTTTTCACTCCTTTTTCTTTTATCTTCTATTTTGCATCAGTTGTTTTTCTCTTACCTTTATCTAATTCTATAAACATCCTTTTCCTAATAAGATCCTTTGTGGTGCATCTCTCTCCTCCTTTTCATATCATAGAGTTTAAGGTTTCAAATTTTCCCTCTTGCATTCCCTATTCAAATTTCTCAAAGTAACTTCCATAAAGCATTACTTCATATTTATGAAAACATTTGCTTTCAATTGAACAGAAAATACCTAGACTATGTATGTATATGTATTATAAGAAGAAAACAAATTGAATTAAAATACTGCAACCTTTGAAAATTCTTATCTTCTCCCATAAAGATTACAACAATAAACTAGCTAGATTTAACCATTTTACAAGTATATACAGTACAAATAAAAAATAACAAGTCATAAGAAATGAAATCACAGGAAAATAGTAACAATATATAAATTTACATGTAAAAGATTTGTAGATTATAAAAATTTCTAATATAAAAATATCAGAAACTCAAAACTTGAAAAGGGAAATGACTTTGGAATGTAATTCTGTTTTTTTTTTTTTGCATTGGGAATCGTACTCAGGACCTTGTGGTTGCTAGGCAGGCATGGTGCCATTGAGCTACATTCATGGCCCCTCAATATAATTCTTTTTTTTTTTTGGTACTGTTGTGGCAAATCTGGGAGTCAAAATGATCTTACAGAGACCAGGAAAGTTGGGTAAAATAAGAAAGCAGTTTATTGCTAGGCAATGGCCAGTCCCAGGAAATGAGTCCTTATAGACTGACCCTGAGTTGAGATAATTTCTCCTTTATACACCTTTTACAGAGTAAAGAGTTCAAGTAGCGGTCAAAACAGCAAGGGACTTTTTTATGGCTTTAAGGTTGGGGGCTTACATAAACAATCTCAAGGCTGCTTTCTTATCTCTTGGAATAGGCTGTCTCACATGAGGGGAAAGGTTACCCTGTATTTTTAAAGCAGGGACAGGTTAACACAGACAGGGTCTTTGCGATAGCCTACACAGAGCACAAAAACAACATATTTTACAGTTCATGGACAGATGTGCTGCAGTAATTATTCATTCCAAGTTATGTTTGGCAGCTCCTTCCACTTCATTCCCCCCTGTTGTTGTATCAAACTGAATCTTCATTGATTTGAACAGGGCAAACATAACTAGCCTCTAAGCGCAGTAGCATTTGATAGATTGTATAGAACGAACTCTTTCCATTATAAATTTGAAATCCAATTAATTAAACATGGTCCAACGGTTACTGGGAGTATTATT